TAGGGGTTAGGGGTTAGGGTTAGGGTTAGGGTTAGGGTTAGGGTTAGGGTTAGGGTTAGGGTTACTATGGGTTGGGTTCAAACTGAAGGAGGGAAAGGTTAGGTTAAATATTAGGAAAACATTTTTTACTATAAGGGTGGTGAGACATTGAAACAGATTGCCCAGGGATGTGGGGGCTGCCCTGACCCTGGCAGTGTTCAAGGCCAGGCTGGATGAGGCCTTGAGCAACCTGGTCTAGTGAAGAGGTGTCCCTGCCCATGGCAGGCAGGGGTGGGGTTCAAACTGAAGGAGGGAAAGGTTAGGTTAAATATTAGGAAAACATTTTTTACTATAAGGGTGGTGAGACATTGAAACAGATTGCCCAGGGATGTGGGGGCTGCCCTGACCCTGGCAGTGTTCAAGGCCAGGCTGGATGAGGCCTTGAGCAACCTGGTCTAGTGAAGAGGTGTCCCTGCCCATGGCAGGCAGGGGTGGGGCTAGATGATCCATAAGGTCCATTCCAACCCTTAAATTCTATGATTCTGTGATATTACTTCTGCCACAAGGAGACCTGCTGTGAAAGCTGATCAGGGACTCCACCATCTCCAGGGGAACTCTGTGGTCTCTAACTAGCACATTAACCCACTCATGCTGGTGAGTGGGTGGAACAATCTCTCCAGAGAGCTTCTCAAACCAGCATTTTAATAAACCTTTGATGGCCTCTAACAAGCCTCAGAATCAGAGAGGAAGAAAAGAATTTGGCCTGAGAGACTAGAGAGAAATACCTAGACAACTGAAAACTCAGAGAGTTATCTCCTAAGATGTCTTCAATCCCCAAAGGAGGCAAAAATTCAAGAATCTTACAAATTGCTATTCTTTATCTGAAAGCACACCAATGCTCTGAGCCTTTAAATCAAGCTCTCTCTCAATCTGAATGCACAATTTATTGTCCCCTTACAGTTTTTCTCATTGCCTTTATTTGCAGAAGCAAAGGTCCCTAAGTCACTATTTAGGTCTACCATTAAACATTAGAATTCTTAATGAAACAACCCTGAAATTCCAGCTTGCAAGTGTGCAGTGGCAAGCAGTGCTAATTAAAATGACACCCAACACCAAAATTCTTTTAAAAACAACAACCATATAAAGTAAAAAGTACATCAAAACATGGCTATCAATAAGGCAGAGGAACCATTAGTATATTTTGACCTCTGAAGGTTTGATTTATAAAACAAGAGCTGACATGAATTTCAGATGAAGTCCAGCTATTGCTGATCCAAATTACAGCTGAGATTTTTAAAAAAGCTAGTCACCTCCCCTTATGTATTAGCAGAGCATTTGGGGAAGTATTTCTATCACCTTTATTTACAAAAGAATAGTAAACCAGTTGGATGAAAATAAATCACCTTTCTATATACTGTAACTAAAATGAAATTCTGCTCCTTACTGACCTCCCTTTGTGCAGGTGCTAACTGCTGTCTGCACATGTAATCTGTTGCACACATGAATTCAGTGGATCAGTGTACATCAACTCATATGGTGCCTCATCCCATCAAGGAGCTATTGAACCTGCAGAAGGACTCTGTCCTGCAAGGCCATGAGAGAACCCAGATCTCACCTCTCCAAGATTTCTTGAGTGCTTTCAGCACCTCAGGATCATTTTGCAGTTCATATTTAAAGCAAGTAGTACCAGGAACCACCAGCACACAAGCTGCCTGTGTTATCAGTGAGTTAGCTATTAAAGGGCTCTCATTTTCATACACCAAAATTAATCATGGCTTGTTTAACTTGGCACGTCTTCCAGTACAGTACATCAGGGCTTCCTATCAGAAGCACACCGTTAAATTATTGTTAAACAGGTTTCTGAATCTGCTCCCCTGATGTGCACTGTCTGAGATCTGAGAATATATTTCCTCTTTATTCAGGTGACAAAGGAGCCAAAGGCTTACTGGGGGCTTCTGGAAAAAAAGGAAAAGCAGGTACGTTATGAATGGTCACATCTGCTGGATCTTTGATTTCAGGGTTGGTTTGTCTGGAGTTTCATGAAATTTTGAGGCACATGGAAAGACTTGAGAATAGATGAAATGAATAGGAAGAGACTGAAAATGTTTTGCTGAGCAAAATGAAGGTTAGGGGCAGGGACATGACTGATGCCTATGAATGCACCTACATCAGCAAAATATGAAGAGTCACCAAAATTAATGGGCAATATTTGATATCATAGAAACTAATATGCAGACAGGCCAGCAATATACATTTATACTGGATGCTAGAAGAAAGGTTCTTAATTTTAAAGGAATTAAGTCCTTTAAGAGTTTCCTAAAATATATAAATGGTTTCAGATAGAGCATAATCTATTGTCAGATGAATGCAATGTATTTGCTTACAGGAGGAGAATTTGGGTCTGATGAATTAGAAAGCTCTTCTCAGTCCTAATAACCTTGAATTGTTACCCACCTTGAACTTATACTTGTGTTCAAGACATTTCATATACAATGCCAGTTTCATTCTTAATGGGAAACCATCAGCAACTTATTTTCTTTCTGAGAATAACAGAAGAACAAACAAAACCAATACCAAGTCAAATTTCAGTTTACCAAAAAATAACACCCCCCTCCCAAGACTTCAGTGCTTGAAAGCTATTGATTATTTGAGTTGGTATCAACTTACTGCTGTACCACAGCTGCATGCAGCAATTCACTAACTACCAAAGGTTTGCCTTTGGATTCCACCTCTATGCATACTCATGAAACTCCTTCACTGAGAAAGCAGCAGTTCCCAATTTGCGGATGCTGCTGTTTCTATTATAAAATTGGGGAACCTGAGCTGATTATGGGTACAAAGATAGACCTTTGGTATTCAGATGTAATGCTGTAGTGACCCCCAAGACATGTCACATCTCTGGAGCTAGAATGGAATCAATAATGAGAGAGGCAGAGGATGCACAAATCCCATGCTGATATGGGTGGGAAAAAAATGGCAAAAGCCTTGTTTTTAAAAGCAGATATTCTTAAGCCAATTAGCAAGGGAGTGTACAGAGCCAAAATAATAAGCACTTTGATCAGCAGAAGGGGCAAGGTGGGACTGGCTCTCCACAAGTCTCCAGGTCTTCAGAAGCTTTGGAAGTGGGCTACACATGACTCTACACACACACACACACACACACACACACACACAAACGCTTCCAAACAGATAAATCCTCTATCCTTTGTATTGCACCAGGCACTGTCTGTGACTGTGGAAGATACCGCAGATTTGTTGGACAACTGAATATCAATGTTGCTCGTCTTAACACATCCATCAAGTTTGTAAAGAATGGTAAGGATTCTTATGTATTTGATATGATTTATTTGGCTCAAATAACAGTTATCATTGCTATTCTTCTACCACTGCTGCTCTAGGACAGCATCCACATATGACCCAGAGAGAGGGTCCCACTGTACAAGGCACTCTGAAAGCCTACAGAAGAGAGGCAGTCTTACACCTGTAGGGATGTAAGGACCAGATGGCTAAGAGCAAAAACAATACAGAAATTATCAACAGCACAACAGAAAGAATCATGAAAAGCACAAGGCAGAGCTTGCTAATTGCCTCTGCACTGTCAGTCTGCTCAGGCCCAGTGGCCACTAAGGAAAAAGTTTGTGCCAATCTGCTCCAGAGGCAGGAAAAGCGATAGGAACCTCATGATCTTTCTGCTGCCTGGGAAGGCTGCAGACACGGTATTCCTAGTGCTCCCCCAGTTCAAGCATCATTTTCCAGTAACAAGGGACCAACACTTACAGACAGGGTATAAGAAGCCATGTTTGCAGGCAGTGCTGTCAGGCAGACAGTGCAAACTGCCCCACTGAAAGGAGGGAAGGGAGTTTCCTGGCATAGCAGAGATTTTGAGACTGCTCCGCTACTGCTGCTAGGACTAGGACTGTATCAGTAAATTAAATGCATTTGAGACTGTTCCCTGTCACTGTAGGCATCCAGCACAGAACAACACTCATCTATATTATAAATCCTACAAAACTGAATGACATAGTATCATTAACTCCTAAACTGTGCCTAGGGTAACTCCTGAATTGTTCGGGAGAATATTAGTTGTTTCAGGCAAAAACTCTGTCCACGACCATTCCAGCAACCCATCAGCAGAGACAATCAACTTTCAGCTGCCCTTGCATGCTCCTTGGCACTGCACAATTCGCTAGGCTATACATTGGTTGAGAGGTCTGCCTTTTAAAGCTGCTGAACAAGCACAATTTTCTTCCTAGTAAATGCCACAGTGGCTACAGCAGTTTTGAATATCAGACTGTATTTAAAATGTCTTATTTTAGTGGTCACAATCGTTTTTCTCTACATGGAAGGGGCCTGAAAAGCTACCTATACCCCTGCATTTCTATCCCAAGGCTCTCTTTCACAACCTATATTAAAAAACATGCAAAGCAATGGGGGTGATCCATAGTTAGACATTGCTATTTGACCACTTAGCATGCCTTAATTCGATTAGTACTAGAGATCTATGAAACAAAACTTAAGCGTCATAGGAGACATGCCAATCAGGATGAATAGTTCTTGTCCTAATGTGTGCAAGGTGCTTGTCAGTCCCATTAGTTCCATCACAAATTCAGTGGTGGGAATACTTTTTGTCCTTCCCTTTTAGTAATTCTAATGTAAGAATCATCTCCTTGTCATATCGGAACAGAAGAACCCTCAGCATCTGTTGACGTGCCATTAAGCAATTTTTCTTCCCTTTGAAAGTTATAGCAGGTATCAGGGAGACAGATGAGAAATTCTATTACATCGTGAAAGAAGAGAAGAATTACAGAGAAGCCTTGATCCACTGTAGGGACAGAGGAGGAACACTGGCCATGCCTAAAGACGAGGCAACCAACGCCCTGATTGCCGACTACATCTCCAACAGCGGCCTCTTCCGAGCCTTTATTGGGCTGAATGACATGGAAAAAGAAGGACAGTTTGTGTATGCAGACAACAGCCCACTGCAGAACTACAGTAACTGGAAGCAAGGGGAGCCTCACGATGCAACTGGCCGTGAGGACTGTGTGGAAATGCTCAGTACAGGAGAGTGGAACGACTCTGAGTGCCAAGTCACCATCTACTTTGTCTGTGAATTCCTCAAGAAGAGGAAATAAAAGTGCCAGAGAATGTGCCTGGCACCTACTGTACATACAATAACCTATCCTCATTCACCACTGTGGGAGACCAAACCAGGGATAGGGCTCAATCCAGCCTTCATGTCATCAGGTTAAGCAAGACTAACTACTGTTTAGTTGTCAGGGACCGTAAAGTCAGCACAGGTCTTCAGGGGGCATCGAACCAGTTGTGACATTTTATTTCATTTCTACATGCATTTTAGGGTGGACATTTCTATATGTAATTTAGGGGTAAATTTAGAGCATGCAGAGGTGAATTTAATTTCACCAATGCCAGAAATAGTAAGCTCACTGGTATATTAATTACTGATGTGATGTGCAAAGTCTGCAGATGGAAAGAACATGATCTTCATTCATCTCTGACCTGCAAAGGAAGTCCCAGTAATTTCCCTGGTGACTTCAGAGCTGGGAGAACAGATTTGCAATTTCTCTTGAAAAAAGACCTTCTTTTGTTAGAATGATAGAGTAATTTGAGGTAGAAGGGATCTCTGAAGTTCATCTGGTTGAATCATCTATGCAAAGCAGGGCCAACTTCAAACTTAGAAGTTGTTATACTCACCTTAATTTGGCTGTGCAATTATATTGCCTGACATGCATTTATCTGGACTTCTCTAAAGCCTTTGATATGGTCCTCCACAATATCCTTCTATGTAAATTGGAGAGAGATGCATGGATGGACTGTTAGATGGATAAGAAATCCTTTGGATGCGCACATCCAGAGGGTAGGGATCAATGGCTCAGAGTCTCAATGGACATTAGTGGTGTCTCTCAGAGGCTCATACTTGGACCAGTGTTATTTAATATCTTCGTTAATGACTTAGACAAAGGAACAGAATGGACAGAATGCCACCCAGGGGGACCTGGACAAGCTCAAGAAGTGGGCCCATGGGAATCTCATGAAGTTTAATAGGACCAAGTGCAAGGGGCTGCACCTGGGTTGGGGCAACCCCCGGTATCAGTACAGGCTGGGGATGAACAGATCGAGAGCAGCCATGTCGAGAAGGACTCAGGAATGCTGGTGGATGAGAGGCTCAACATGCCCTGGCCATGAGCACTTGTAGCCCAGAAAGCCAATCATATTGGGCTGCATCAGAAGGAATGCAACCAGCAGGTTAGGGGGGGTGATCCACCCTCTCTGCTCTGGTGAGACCCCATCTGGAGTACTGTGTCCAGCTCTGGAGTCCCCAACACAGGAGGGACATGGACCTGTTGAACTGAGTCCAGAGGAGGGCCACCAAGATGATTAAAGGGATGAAGCACCTCTCCTATGAAGAAAGGCTGAGAGAATTAGGATTGTTCAGCCTGGAAAAGAGAAGACTCTGGGGTGACCTAATTGCAGCCTTCCAGTACCTAAAGGGGCCTACAAGAAAGATGGGGAGGGACTCTGTAAGGGCATCTAGTGATAGGGCAAGGAAGAATGAGTTTAAACTGGAAAAGAGTAGGTTTAGATCAGATATCAGGAAGAAATTCTGTACTGTGATGGTGGTGAGGCCCTGGAACAGGTTGTCTTGGCCTACAAGAAAGATGGGGAGGGACTCTGTAAGGGCATCTAGTGATAGGGCAAGGAAGAATGAGTTTAAACTGGAAAAGAGTAGGTTTAGATCAGATATCAGGAAGAAATTCTGTACTGTGATGGTGGTGAGGCCCTGGAACAGGTTGTCTTGAGAAGTTGTGGGTGTCACTGGAAGGGAAGTGTTTCAGAGCAGGTTGGAGGCGGCTCTAATCAACCTGGTCT